AAAGATGGCATAAGCTTCACATTTAATTAATCCAGAAGCTCTGGCTCTTCTGGAATGTTTTTAGGTAGAAGCTCTAGAAATTAAATTACTGATGACTTATGAAATCAATTGTCTACGTCTCACAAATTCTGCTTTAAATGTACAGGACACAGTTATAAGAGATCTTTCAACAAAGTTATAACTTAGCTGCACAAATATCTATATCTATGTAAGGTTTAAAAATAAAATCATGTCGATATTTTAAATTTCTGGTGAAAAGTTTAATTATTGCAGGGCTGACAGAATACTAGACTCCAATTATGAAGGCTTTATTTATAGTACAATCTGTCCTCGTCCATTCATTCACCATATATCGTGAACCTTACAATTTTCTGATAAGGACAGATTTGCAAGCTCACAGAAGGGTGAGAGGGATATACATTAAACTAATTATTTCAGTGAATGAAACATCGAGGTAAGTGCTACAGCAGTCCAGGAGGAAGGCGCTAGCACATCTAATTATCTTCTTTGATCTGGTTAACAGCCCTCTGAAGTAGGTTTCATTACGCTGATTTTGCAAGAACCGGTGCCGCAAGGCCTCAGAGCCAGGGGCGAGGTTGGACCTAGACCCACGTGTTCTGACTGCAAGTCCACAGCCGAGATAGTGAACAGAAAAGGAATCATGCTTTTGCATTCCTCCTCTAAGAAGTTTATGTACTCCTTTGTAAAGCAACTTTTCTCTGTAAAGTCCTAACAAATGCTAGTTACGTCCTCTGATTTAAGCCACCCAACTCAATTGCAGACAATTTGTTATGTCTTATTTTCCTCTGGAGAGTTACCAATTAATTTGAACTTGAAAGACATCTCCTGTGCATGGAGAGGCAAGTCTCGCCGGTTAGAAGCAGCAGAATCGTTTGGCGCCCGGGTCGTCTGAATCTAGATGTGTTTGCACAGAATCGAATCCAAATCCAAACCCACCAGCTTTGACTGCGGCAGTTTAATTAGCAGTCACAGCAAGACCAGAACGCGGTCTCAAGGTGTCACTGGGCCTGTCTTGAACTTTTGCCTAGGCTTGGGCGAAGGCGATCGGAAACTAGGGACAAGGCCCGTGTTTCCTGGGTGAAATGCTATTTATAGCCAGCGCCAACAGAAGCCAAAGCCCACAACAGCTGCGCTGCAGCGCGGTGCCGCCGCCATGCCAGCAGGTCTCACGCCGCTCACCTTCACAGTCGGCCCCCGGCTGCCCCCCGGCCTCCTGGCCCTGCGCTGGCACCGGGTGACAGACCCAAAGCCAGGCGCAAAAGGCCACCATCGCGGCTGGGCTCGAGCACCACATTCTGAGCCAGCAGCCCCAAACGCGTCGGCCACCTGCGTCCCCCGACAGCAGCGCAGCTATAGCCCGGGACGGCTTTAGGACGCAGGAGAGCGGAGCACGTGGTTGGAAAGAATCTGCCCCCAGTTGCTAGGGCAAATGACGCAACTCAGCCCCGATTTTCCATTGGCTCTCACGAAAGGGGCAAGGGCAAGGGAGCCCGGTCCTGGCCCTCGCCGACCCGCGCGTGCGCACTACCTCACGCGCTGCGCCGCTCCAGCGGGGCCGGGAGAGACGCGCTAAAGCTATTCGCCGACTGCTCGAGAGGAAAGGCGGGACCTTCACGCTGATTGGCGGCGACGCGGGAGGCCGCGGCGGTGACCGGACGCAGGGGGCGGCGGGAACGTGAAGTCTTCGCGGTGCCTGATGGGGCTCTGCGGAAGCCGGGAGCTGTCGCTGTTGGGGGTTCCCTCGTTCCTGCTGCCGCCGTCTCTGCCGCCTCATGGCGGCCATCGGAGTTCACCTGGGCTGCACCTCAGCCTGTGTGGCCGTCTATAAGGTGCGAGAATGGGGGCTGGGGTACGGGCCTGATGTCGGCCACCCGTTCTCCGGGTGCTGCGCCCGGTCCTTGGGTCACCTACGGGCTTGTGAACGCGTGTCGCCGACCTAGGGACGTCGCGCAGAGGGGCGTCACTGCGGGGAAGTTTCGAGGTGAAGGGCTGGGCGGACCCGACCTCGTTCCCCACGGCCCCTCCAGAAAGCCCCCTGCGCGTCGGCGGAGGGTGGTGACGACGCGGGCGCGCGGGGTCCGGGGACGGCAGGGCCGCAGGAGACCCAGGGGGTCTCGGGGACGTTGTGGGCGCGGGAGGCCTGGAGGGGGGCGGGTCCCGGGGACGGCAGGGCCGCAGGAGACCCAGGGGGTCTCGGGGACGTTGTGGGCGCGGGAGGCCTGGAGGGGGGCGGGTCCCGGGGACGGCAGGGCCGCAGGAGACCCAGGGGGTCTCGGGGACGTTGTGGGCGCGGGAGGCCTGGAGGGGGGGGGTCCCGGGGACGTCAGAGCCGTAGGACGCCAGAAGGGTCTGGGGGACGCGGTGGCCGCAGGAGGCTCGGAGGTTTCTGGATGTTTGCCGGGAATGGATGGGGTGGCCGCGCTCTGGAACTGGAGCTATTGATCCCTGGAAGCGTGTGAAGCGAGTTGATGGTGCGTGCTGCACTGACTTGGCGTGTCTGGAGATGAGAGAGCTTGACAAGGAATTGTGGGTTTTCTCTCATCAATCGGGAGGTAGAAGGAACAGTAATGATGAACTCCTGATGCTAGTCTTACGTTTAAATGCAAATGATTTCTAAGGAAAAGCCGAAGGGATTATTGCTACTACGTCATACGTAAAAAAGGGGAAAAAAGATGTATTTGTATAGGGGAAGGAAGAGAAGTAGAAAGGGTAATGTAATAAGACACGTTATTATTGTGTATAGAAAGGTTGTTATTCTGTTTGTTCCAGTCATTGGCTATGCAGAGCAGATTGCAAAATGAGGCCTTATATATGAAAAAAATGTTGGCCTTATGTAAAATCTAGGAAGTAAATAAGGGCTATTAAATCTACAAGTTTAAAATATTGATATAGTGATTTTTGTTTCCACATATATGGCAAAGTGGCACTGGCCTGCATATCTCTGAATGTGTCTAACAAAACTATATATTTCGTTTCCAAAGAACTAATATAGTTGTGTGTTTTTCTCCAGGATGGCCGGGCTGATGTGGTTGCAAATGATGCAGGTGACAGAGTTACTCCAGCTGTTGTTGCTTACTCAGAAAATGAAGAGGTACTACTATTTCCCTCATTTTTGTTGTTTGAAAAAATAAAAATTAGATGCATTGTAACATATTGCTCTTTTTCAGGTTGTTGGACTAGCAGCAAAACAAAGTAGAATAAGAAATATTTCAAACACAGTAATGAAAGTAAAGCAGATCCTTGGCAGAAGGTATGGAATAAGATAATACTTTTACATATGTTAATAAAATGTGTTGACATTCTAAGCATAATGTGAAATGAAGCTAGAAACACCAGTTTATTTTTTTGTTGTTTTTATGACAGAGTCGTTTCAGAGAGTACCCCAGTAGGCTGTTTCTGTGATAATTAGTGTTGAGTCTTCTCAAGGATGGGATTCACTAACACTTGTTTCTTGCTGACAGGTCTGTTAATATTGATAAATGCCAATATTCATTTAGTTTTGTTAATTTGTGTAATTCAGAGGTGGTAATTTGGACTTCTCACATTTTTGTATTACTTTCTTAAATGAGAGAACTTGAAGGAATTTGTGGGAATTTGTAGATTTCTTTGCACTGTAGTTGAATTTTGCAAAATCTGTTACAGTTGGTTGTAATTTCTGTAGAAGCTATTGATTTTCTTCCTCAGGTCTTTTTGTGACACTTTCTGGGAACTAACTTTTCCAGTTGGCTTACAAATTTAATCATTAAAGAAACAGCTTAATTAACATCTTCGGTAAGCATCAGGTTAATCATCTGTTGTAACTTTAATTAAAAGATTAAAGAGGCTTGCTTCCCCAGACTTCTGTCTCCTCAAATTATAGATTACCATAATAATTAGGGGTTTTCATTTTCATTGGAGTGGTAATACTTGATATAGTGTTTTTATATTTTCAAAGTGCTTTTACATCTATTATTTTATTTAATCCTCTCAAATCCTTAAGATTGGTAGGGCAGGTTTTATCTCTCCCCGTTTATAGACGAGAAAAACAAGATACCTAGAAGTTGTGGTATTCCTGAATTAGTGAGGGGGTGAACTAAATGGGACTGCAGTTCAGGGCATCTCACCCTCAGCCCCAGGTTCTTTCCTTTCTGCTTTGTTCAGTTGAGAATTTAAGTAGAAATTCCCTTGTATTGATCTTAGGATTTGAGGATTGTAGGTAAATTTAATATTTCTTTCGTTTATAGATGCAGATATTTTTTATTGTCCCTTACCTGTATTTAGTTAAACTGAACTTGATATTTATTGTTTTCCTTAGGATATCTATGCACTAAGCCAAAAGCTATAGTATTTTGGAGAGAATTCAGATTTTTGTGATAACTATATTCCCATGTCCATTTACCTGTTGACAAAACTTAGTACTGAGCATATTGAAAATAAATGAGGGGCCGGCCCCGTGGCTTGGTGGTTAAGTGAGTGCGCTCCAGTGCTGGCGACCCGGGTTCGGATCCCGGGCTCGCACCGACGTGCTGCTTCTCCGGCCATGCTGAGACCGCGTCCCACATACAGCAACTAGAAGTATGTGCAGCTATGACATACAACTATCTACTGGGGCTTTGGGGGGAAAAAATAAATAAATAAAATCTTTAAAAAAAAAAAAAAAAAAAGAAAATAAATGAGTTGGTGTTGAAAATTTTCAAATTATAAACTGAAAAAAGCAGGGAGTTGTAGATGGGTCTGGAAGCTAGATTCTTTGTAAGCAGCCAACAGTATATATTTTTTAATTGTATTTTTTATTTTGAGATAATTGTAGATTTACATACAGTTGTAAGAAAGAATACAGCGAGAGCCAATGTAGTACTGGATTTACCACTTTCTCCCAATGGTAACATCTTGGAAAACTGTAGTACAGTGTCACTGCCAGGATACTGACATTGATATGATCCAGATACAGAATATTTCCGTACGTCTATCCCCTGCTAGCCCTGTTGGTTTTATGCTGCTGTTTTAGGGCAGATGGTTGGAGTGATGATGTGGTTGTCTTCTACCATATTATACAAAAAGCTTTGTATTAGCAGGAACAACTTGGCCCACTTTTCTGGCCCTGAAAGTTGCCTTTTAACAAAGGAATGTGGTGGTGACAGTCTGATGCTAATATATAGCCACAGCATGCTACTTAGGCCAAGGTTAGTAAAGGATGTGCACCCTTCAGACGTACTGCTACACCGTGGTCCTGCTAGCACTTCTCCAGAGTGAGCTGCCTCATGGTCCAGGTAGTCCCCTCTCCGTCTGTCTACTTACTAGACAATGGTGATTTCTACAGATCTCCAGTTGTACCAGATCTCAACCTTGGAAGCATTCTTCCCTTTGTAGAGGAGCCAGGCCCCTTGCCACCAAGTCAGTAAGGCCCTTTTTAGCCCCTGGTCCAGTACCCATCCTGGGCAGACTCCCAAAGCTGGGCTTTCTCAGTCTTGGCATCCTGCCTGTTTGCCACCTACTTACAGGTAGCACCGCTTAACTTGCTGCCACAATTATCCTTCCACCCTCCCTGTAACTCTCATTCCCCTGTGGCCTTCCAGCCAGAAATTCGGTCCTTGGACCTGGCTTCTCAGCAATTAGCCCTGAGAGGGAAGAATCACCTGGCTCCTGGAAACACACTAAGAGCGCACAGAGCCTCCCCGTACCTTCAGATTTGCACCTTTCTGCCCAGGAGCTTCCTTCAGCCAGCCTTCCTTCCCAGTCCACTATGGCCAGTTCCAATAGCAGTGCGGGCATCCGGTGGTCCAGACAGGAGACACGAACTCTTCTCTCCATACTAGGCGAGGCAGAGTATATTCAGCGCCTCCAGACTGTGCATCATAATGCAGATGTCTATCAGGCTGTGTCTAAGCGAATGCAGCAGGAAGGCTTCCGCCGCACCGAACGTCAGTGCCGCTCCAAGTTTAAAGTTCTGAAGGCATTATATTTAAAGGCGTATGTTGCCCATGCCACAAGTATGGGTGATCCACCACACTGTCCATTTTATGATACGTTGGATCAGCTTCTCCGACATCAGATAGTGACTGACCCGGAGAACTTAATGGAGGATGCTGCTTGGGCCAAGCACTGTGATCAGAACTTAGTGGCCTCTGACACCCCAGGGGAAGAGGGAACCAGCATTCTGAGAGCAAAAAGGACTCAGGCAGCAGATCATCAGCCTGTCTTGAAAACAGTTAAGGACTCAGATGAGGATTGTCAACTGAGAATCAGTGACCAGATGCGAGAAACCAGTGACCTTGAGGACTCCTGGGATGAATCCTCAGGTGCAGGTAACTCCCAAGCTTGTGAAGGATTGGGGTCCCAGAGTCACTTGATTCTAAACAGCAGTATAGGTTTGGTGTTCTCTTCAGCATTGTCCCTGTTTCTGCCCCCTTTCCTTTTTTTTTTTAATGTAATGGTAGGATAAAGGGCTGCAGGTTTTTAAAAGCTGTGACCCTAGGTATGTAAGGTATTGGAATTCTTTAAACATAAAAGAAGTACTCTTTAGAACTAAACTAGTTTGGGCATTATTTATAATGGGTACTTAGGCATTTGTGGATATATTGTGGGTTGGATAGCTACATGGAAAGGGTTTCAGGAAGGCAAGGAGGAAGTTTTAGCAGTAAGATTACGACAGGCCAAAATGTCCAGATTAAGGAAATGAATTCTTCCCAGTCCCTTGTGGAGAGAGGGCTTTCTAGGAACTACCATACCATATTTTTGTAATTTTCTCTCAACTCTGCTGCTGGCTGAGCATTCCCTTAGTAGGAATGTCCTCTTTGCAACATTGTTGCTTTGTTTTTCAGGGTGCTCTCAAGGGACTCCCAGCTACAGCAGCTCCCACCACCTTTTCAGAGGTGCAGTTGCTCCCTGTCAGAGCAGTCCCATGACCAGACTGGGTGTGTCCGGTGAGCCCAGCCCCTCCACCAGCACCAGCCGAAACACTCCTGGGGTGGCCTCCACACAGCAGCCTCCGGTCTCCTCCTGCAGAGTTCCTTTTGTTTCTGATGGGGATAGGCCTTTGACCAGTGAGCCCCCTCCACGGTGGGCAAGGCGAAGAAGGCGCTCAGTGGCCAGGACTATTGCAGCAGAGTTGGCAGAAAACAGGAGATTGGCACGAGAACTTGCCAAGCGTGAGGAAGAGAAATTGGACAGGCTGATTGCTATTGGCGAGGAGGCCAGTGCTCAGCAAGATACTGCCAACGAGCTCCGGAGGGATGCTGTGATCGCAGTCAGACGCTTGGCAACAGCAGTGGAAGAGGCCACTGGTGCTTTTCAGCTAGGGCTTGAAAAATTGCTTCAGAGGTTAATTTCGAATACCAAAAGTTAGGAACTGATTACAAAAGGGTGTATTTCTTAAACTGGTAGAAGCCCAGTTCCAACACCTTCCTTCTGGTACCCTGGCTCCTTTTCCATGTCCTCAGGAAAAGAAGAGTGCATGAACCATTAACATGAAGCGTGGTAGGAATACACGTGCTAGTTGCTTTTCCCAAGCTTCTCTGCTAATTGAAAGACCTTTCAGATATGTGAGAGGTGGCCTAAAAGAAAATAAATGGAGCCAAGTCCAGAGAGCTAGTTAGCTATGGCTTTGTGCCTCACTGATGTGAGGCAGTTTAGTTTACCTCTCTACAGCAGTCTCCTCAACTGTCAAATGGGGGCTAGGTAATAACTCCTGACCTGCTTACCTCACAGGGTTGTTGTGAGGATGAAGTGGCTAATAGATGTGAAAAGGTGTAAAAGTTTAAAAGCACTATACGTGTGTAAGTTATTAATGCATATGACCTTGGCCGACGTATGGCTAAGGTGAGGCACATTAGTTGACAAGATATAAAATTATGGTTGTACACGTGACCTCATTGCTTGAATCCTTCCTAGCGTAACTTGACTACTTCCTGGAGTTGAAGATCTTCATTTTTTTAAATCCCTCTATAGCTCATTAGACTGATAGAGACACAACATGTATTTGTACCTTTATCTCACATTTGCAGTGCTGTGTCTATGATAGTACCTACCAGTAAGCACTCAATAGTCAAATCATCTTCCCTCCATTTTGCTAGTTCTTAGTCTCTTATCCCTATAAGGATATAAGTCAGAACTGACAGGGAGCTGCAGTGTGTGTTTTGGTTCATATTGGTAATCTTTGTTTTAATGAGATACGGGCTGTTTTATAAAATATTAAATGTAAGTAAATTCTTTACATTCCATATTATTTGGGTCCCTTTATATGCATAATTAGATGTCTAAGTTTGGGTTGCATTTGAACATTGTGGAAACATTTCGGATTATATCAGTTTCCCAAATGCTTTTAGCTAATTTCATTATTTTCTGTTAGCCTTTTTTCTGTCTAGTATGTTACAGAGGGCAAGCCCTAGAAAACTTTCCTTCTAGGGAACTTTCCAAGGTCACTTTTTCTCACATGGTGTACCTAGTTAATGGCACATAGTGGAAGAGAACATCTTTGGGAACAATTGAGAGTGGTATGGAGAAAGACTGCCTGCAACAGATGACTTCTGCTAAGCACAAGCCCTCAACAAATACACCCCTTTTCCCCCCAAAACACACACACTTCCTTTGGGAGATATGAAGGTGTTGAGCCATACTTCCAGTTTACTTTAGAAGAGAAGCCATTACCAGCCATCATTAAACTAACTTAAAGCTTTTAGTGGTTTACTCAGTACTTTCAGGAAATACAAATAGGAGCCTTTGAATTTAAAAAGCTTTCTTTCAATCTAGAGGCTGAAAAAAAAAGTGTGGGCATGTTGGGAGAGGTTTTGTTTTATATTTTGCAGGCTTGGGTGTTTACCTAAATGCTGGAAATACAGATAGATGGAGAAATAGTCAAAACAACAGTGGGAACATACCTGGAACCATGAGTAGCTGGCAAGCAAGCAAGCTGCTCTGACAAATGGGTGATGGATGTAGGAGGCAGCTGGTGTGGTGGAATACACTGGAATCTAGTTAGAACTACTGGGTTCTAATCCTGTCACAGTTTGTTAACTTGAGGCAAATCACTTGCCCCTTTTGTGTGTCAATGCCTTTCTTGAAAATGAGAGATTTGTGCTAGATGACTTTGCTAGTACCTTCCAGTTCTAAAAAAATTATATGATGGTAGCGTAACAAAAAAAGGCAAAATGAAATTTTAATTGTAGTATTTTCAGTCATAGCATATTAATGTAAGTGAAATACTGGTAATGATTGTATTTTAAGGAGGCATTCTATAGATTAATATTTATTAATATACTTATGAACTTCTATAAGCACTACACCAGACATAGATTCCTTGCTTTAAAGGAGCATATATTAAGGCTTGAAATGGAGATTTTATATATATATATATATGCATTTTCTTAATTGTTTTAGGCCATTATCTGTAGGTATATGTGTCAGTTATAACTGGATAACACTAATGTAAATAGGTAGACTTTCTGGAAAAACAGGAAAGTACTTAAAGGAGAGTTAGACCTGTACTGTATTAATCTATTAATGGTAGCAAAGTACTGAGGCAGAGATTTATTTGAGATCAGAGAAGTGCTAAAGAACAGAAGTGGAGTCAAACTTTGGAGATAGCATTGTAAAAATCTAATGGGTGAAGTACCCTTAATGTGGGAATAAAACGAAAAGGAAAGGTCTTAAAGAAGTAAATAGAAAAATAGGCAAAATATTGTTAAGAGGAAGGAAGTTGTAATAAGAGGAGGCTGTATGAAAGAAAAGCACAGAAATCCTGCCTGAATTCTAGGCCCAACCATTACTACTTGTCCATCCTCAGGCAAGTCATTTCAGCCTTCTGTAACTCAGGTTCCTCACCTATAAAGTGGGAAACGAGTAACTCTCCTACCTACCTCACAGGACTGTTGTGAGGGTAAGGTGAACAAATGTTTGTGAAAACGCTTTCAGACATGGAAGGCCCTATAATGTGACAGACATGGGGAAGAAGACCCTGAGGCATGTTAGTGCTGTGTGCCAGGTCCGAGAGCCTGCTGACTGTGCAAGAGACATTTAAAGAGGGAGGAGGAAGAGAAAATGGCGTTGCTGGTAAAGGTTGTGATACAATGGTGGGATTAACGCTCTGCCTCCTGAAGACCATGAGGTAAATGAGGTGCTTTGTATACCAACCTGCCGTCATCCTTTGTTTTTCTGTTAAGTAATTTAATCCTGGTGTGGACAAATAAAGTTTTTACATGTATGTAGTTGTGTGTGAGTCCGCTACTTTCTGGCGATATCCGGGATCATTTGTCGTCACCTCCATTCTCTGCTTTCTTCTCTGCTAGCTGGTCTCAGGGCCTTTCCTGTATGTGGCCCTAAGAGCTACATTTGCTTTCTGTCCTCACGTGAGAGAAGCCCTTTGCGTGGCAATTGAGAAATAATTTTCCATTTCAAAGAGTTCTATAAATTGCATCAGATAGGTTTTCATGGCAAATGGTCATGTCTGAGTGGAAGATAACTTACACATAATAGGATAAATTGTCCTGGTTGACTGAAGTTCTATTCTTAAAAAAACCTGTGACTGTCATGCTGAAATTGTAATATTGGTGTAAAAAAAAATTACTGTGGGCACACTTAATCTTTTTTTCTTACTCTTAAAATATTTGTCCAGGGTGTAGTCTAAATACTGGGTTTAGAAAAAGGGAGGAAGGGAGGGTTTATTGGAAAAAATACTAAACTTTGTTTGAAAGGAGCATCTTCCAGCCAGTTCTGCCATTAATTAGCCATGTGACTTTGGGCAAGCTACTTAGCTACTTCCTCTCTATCAATCATAGAAAAGGAAACATGAGCAATCTGCAAGTATTCCAGACAGTGTTCTAAGCTGAATTAGTCCATCTTAAACCCTTTATGTCTTCCTCTTATTTATAAAGATGGAATTAGTCCATCTTTAACCTTTATGAGGGTTAGGGTTCTCAGCTGTTCAGTAACCCTTCAGCAATTAGCCACTATTAATTTTCACCTCCTCCTATTAAACATTTAAGACGTCTCTGAACAGAATAGCCACAGCCCCTTGAAAGAAGAGTTTGGGACCAGCCTACTTCCTCTTAATTTCTAGATGAAATTAAGCCAAGGATCAGACTCCTATCCCTGCTCAAGGGGCAGAATTACTTTAGTCACTTACCATCTTACTGCCAGGCAGTCTGGTAAAGGGTAAACAACACTAGCCTGATAGAGAAGACCTAGGATCAGGTACTGACTCTGCCGCTCATTAGCTTGTAAGTCATTGACCCTCTATGAACCTGTTACCTCTAAAATAGTACTGCCAAATGAACCCCACTTAGGTGTTCTGAAGATCAAGTGAGGTAATATATGTGAAAATATTTTGTAGTCTGCATAAGTTGGTATTATCATCTTGAACAACGTAACACCCATTGTTTTAATTTTTTCATTGCCATATACATTTATTTAGTACCTACTGTGTGCAGGACATTATAGATCTATCTACCTATAGTACTCTGCACCTTTCCGTAGATAACATGCATACTGTTGCTCGGTCTTTGGTTTTGTGTTGATTCGTGTTCAGAAGCCAAGTAACAAAGATGGTGTTAGATATTCTTATTTGCCTATAGTTGGCAATCTTACCTCCTTTTCTCCTTTTCATCTCAGTGGTTGCATGAGAGTATATGACATAAAATCATTGATATTATGAAAAATCACCCCTAAATGTGTAGCATCAGTTAATGGCAAAATAAGAACAAGTAAGAGCTCTTCATTTTCAAATGTGAAGATTAGTACTTTAAATGAACTACCGTAACCATTGTAAATACTGCATCCATTTAATCCTATTAACATCTGTAGTGTTTCAAGATTTGTTAATATTAAGTGACTTAATAATTTTGTTTATATTTTTATATTTGTTCAGTGGTATTGAAAAATATAGTCTTCTTTAAACCTTCTATATCAACAGTACTGATTTTAATACTTAACTGTCTTTATCTTTACGGACAGCTCTGATGATCCACAGGCCCAGAAGTACATCACAGAAAGTAAATGTTTAGTGAGTATGATTCAATTTTTACTTCTCTGTTATACAAAGTAATTGCCAAGATCATAACCTATTATATTGACTTGAAACTTTGTATTTTTATTAAAATTATGACTTATTTAACACACTTATAATTTCCTTTATAGGTCATTGAAAAAAATGGAAAATTACGATATGAAATAGATACTGGAGAAGAAACAAAATTTGTTAGCCCAGAAGATGTTGCCAGACTGATATTTAGTAAAATGAAAGGTATTGAGCAAAAGAGAAGATCTTTTAAAAGTTAATGTTAAAAAAGAAGTTAGAGGTGTTTTTTGATCTCGGGAGAAGCAAGGTGATGAGCAGATTAGCAGTTAGGAGACCTAAACACTAGAGCTGACTGGGCCACTAATTGGCTTGTGACCTTGGCTAAATGACTTACCTTCGCTGACCTTGGTTTCTCTAGAAGTAATGTAAGTGGATCGGGCCAGATTAGCATTTTCAGAACTTCTTAAAATGAAGTGGCCAAATAAGCTAGTGAAGAATGAATGTCTCCCTGTTCAGTGTTGACAGTGCTCTTTCAGTAGCTATTGAGGCAGATTACGTATGTCTGGTTTATCACCACTTCAGATGAAGACTCAAAGCTAAGTGGCGTTCTGTGGAACAATTTGGAAAGTTCTGGAGTAGATTACTTATAAGGCTCACTTCAGCTCTGGAATTGTCTTATGAACTTGTGGGATGGAAGGCAGCCTTTTAATGTGCTGAACTAACATTATGCTGTTTTGTCTTCACACTGACACATTAGAAGCTCATTCTCGATGGACCCAGTCTAATTTGGGAGATGGTTGAAACTTTGAAGCCTAACAGCCAGGCTCTTTGGAAAGTACCTAGTTCCATGTCCACAAACTACCAAAACCACAAAAAGTACTGCATGATTTAGGAGAGCAAGAGAAGAAAGTCAGTGGAGCGGGGCAAAAATTGGAGAGTCTTTATAGTGAGAAGATCTTTGGCACAAATTAGTAAACCTCAGAAAGTATCACTTGACTTTTTTTGTGTCATCAGAATTTTTGTATTTTTTCATATACAGAAACGGCACATTCTGTCTTGGGCTCAGATGCAAATGATGTAGTTATTACTGTTCCATTTGATTTTGGAGAAAAGCAAAAAAATGCTCTTGGGTAAGTGTAATGTGGGGTTTATCTTATTTGTTTAGTTAAAGGAAATACAAATTTCATAATATCACTATATAGTAAAAT